CTTTGTAGACTCATGCGTCATCAATGTGATAATTTTATTTCCTTTTTAAGAAAAACTAAAGGCCACACTCAAATGATTTCCATTATATCGAACTATAAATCAATTTTTAAATTAAATGAAGTTGAAATTTTTATTTAAATACTTTTATTTTCAATTTATTACCATGCTCCAAAGAAATACACATTTACCACGCAACAGGTATTGTTCGTTATTTTTGAGCAGGAAAATAATGAATAAAATCGGTGTTTTATTGTGAAGTTGATGATAGAAATTATTAACTCTTCACGTTGTAAGATTCTGCAAAACAAATTCCCCATGAACGTGGTTTGCATTGTTTTCACGTTCGAATTCACTTTCCTTTCTTCTGCTCTGCAGCTTCAGCCTTTTCCAATTTCCTTGCTCGGTTACCAATTATCCAAAAATATAGCGAAGGAAATAAATAACGAGCATAATATGCTAATTTTGCTTGCGAATCGGAAATCATTACATCTTTTTCCTTACCAACAATAGCATTCAAAATACGATCAGCTACCTTTTCTGGTAGCATACCGGATGCAGTAGTTTTATCCATTTCTGAAAGTAAGAATCGCAGACGTACATACATATACATACACTTTCAACATCGGAAATATATAAAACTGGCAAATAAGTACACAACCATATTACATACTTCCATAAGTTTTGCCACTGCCTGTTAGCGCATTCACAGATAATTGTGTTCGTATATATCCTGGACTAATGCATGTCACCTGTACCCCCTTATCAACTACCTCAGACCTCAACGAGTCGGAAAAAGCTTGTAGAGCATGTTTAGAAGCTGAATAGGCCGAACGATAGGGCAGAGCAAATTTTCCTTGTACCGAACTTATAAAGCAGATATGCCCACTCTTTTGTTTCAGCATCGAAGGTAGTATAGCTGTACGGAAGAATATATGTACTTTTTTCAAATGAATAGTTAATGTATCAAATAGTTAACCTTTTGTAATCGCTACTGAGCCAAAGTAATTTACTACCATTACTTTCAAATCAACATCCAGAGCGGAAGAACCAACCGTTGCACGAACACTAATACCACCGTTATTAATAAGTATGTCAATTTTGTTATGTACGCTAAGTGCTTTACGTGCAAAGTCGGGTATGTCTTTTAGCTCGGCCAAGTCCAACGACAAAATAACTGGTGGATATGTCACAGAGCTCTGTTTGAATAGAGTGAAAGAGAATATTCAGAAGAAAACTTACAAGTACAGAGCGTACAATTACCGCATCTAATGCTAATAAATCCTTCTTAACGCGCTCCAATTCTTCAACACGACGTGCAGCTAATATTACTTTGCAGCCGGCTTTGTAAAAAGTGTGTGCCAAAGCTTCGCCCAAACCGGAGCTGGCGCCCGTAATCAATACTACCTATGGGATTAAGAATGAAAGCATGGATGCATGACTAGAGCTATAAAAAATATTATGAATCATGGATGACTATAGTGATAGAATTACCTTTCCTGCTAATTCATTTCGGCACTTTTTAACTCTGAGACGGTAACAGCACTCCAAGACGACGAAGGGCAGCGCAATTGGCATTAAAACCGCTCCTAAAATTAAATACAACGAACTCCAATCCCCACCGTTGCTTCCTGGAGCTGCACATTTTTCCCCTTCGTCTAAAGTCATCGTTCTGTAATTTCAACTGTTTGATTATTTTTTTAATTATCTAATGCACTTTGCTCTTTCAATTTAGAACCACAGCTCCTTATAATTCTGCATACACACCTACAACAATTCTTTTATTATATTTTAAATGTTATTCGCGTCTATTTTGTTATCATTTTGTTTTGAAGTGTCATTCGCTTTTTTTAAACAGCTGATTTTGGCATGTTGTGGAAGAGAAAGTTTACTGCGGTTATGCGAAGTGCTTGGGAAGTGATAAATTGGCCAAAGTCAGGTGGATTTAATTGGTAGAGGCAGGAAAATGAGTGTCCTGCTGCTAAATACACGTCGACATGCAATTAGCACACTAGGCTCAGCATATCAATCATTACGTTCCTTAAAGAGTGTTAGCGATCGACATTTCATACACACAAGTGCCATACGGTCAACCTTCTGGGAAAAAGAGAAAAAATCTGGTTATAAAACAGAGGTGACACTGCCATCTCGGAAGCAGCTGATAGTTGATGGATTTCGTGAGCTGCGGGAAGAAGTACAGCTATGGAAAGAAGAAATGAAGGAGAAATTCGAGAGTGATCCCATACTTGTATATCGGCCAGGCGAGATAGATGTAGTGTTCAATTTCAAAGACGAAAATGCGCTGGACAAATGGGTTGTAACAACGGATGCCGATCATAGGGAAGGTAAAAGTATGGCGAAGCTGGAATTAAGTGCAGCGGGAGCAGGGCTTTTCCATGGTGATGTCAATTCGGAGCACGTGAAGGATGGTATAGTGAAACGAACTGGCTACGCGAATATACGAACAAAACGAGTGCGGGTAAGAAATGTTCTAAAGAACTGGGAGACATGTGTATTGAAAGAAACATATTTATAGCGCTCTTTTAAACGTGAGTCAACATACGACTGGACACAGTATAATACCTTAGTCATGAAAATACGTGGCGATGGCCGTAACTACCTAATTAATCTTCATACTGAAGGATACTTCGACCTGCAATGGAATGATGTATATCATTTTGTACTATTTACTCGCGGTGGCCCACATTGGCAAATCGTGAAGGTGATGAAAACGGATCATACTATTTTCCATATGTATATACATGGTTTACCATATCATTACAGATTCCTTTTTCAAAGTTCTTCCTATCTTCAAAAGGTCGCATTCAGGACAAGCAAGGTCCGATTCGTTTAGATCGTGTCACGCACTTTGGGCTCTCGGTAGGAGCGAAAAACAACATGGATGGCCCCTTCAAATTAGAAATCGAATATATTGGGTTAGAATTCGACCCGAATCGTCGTGAAGAATTTGCCTATGAAATGTACAAAACCGATAAATACATCGTTGCGACTTAAGGAGATAAGAGTGTTTAATATTAGGAAGCATATAAAACGTTACTATCTAATTTATTTAGAAAAATTTAATTTACAAGTTAACTTGGTTATTCGAGGTAGTCATTTTAATGAAATAAATAAAAACTTGTAATCCACAATTTATTTATGTGTTTTCGAAAGTTTATACACTCCTTAATGGCACCTAAATTTGATACCCCTCGTAGCAACCCTGCCTTTTTGTTTACATTTCAAATTTTTGCATCACATCAAAATTCTTATTTATTTTTGTTTTAAATTTTTTTCGCCGTTTTGCTTTCACTTTGCAAAGGAACGATAAATATTTGCGCAACATTACAAACATAAGCGATTTAGTTGTTCCGTGGCAAGTGTCGATTTGAGCTGGCTGTTACTGTTTGTGATAAAGTGCAGATCACGTGGAACGTTTGACGACGCGGCTCGATCTGTGGGAGAAGACACCATGGTAAGTATACTCGCAGTCATATACCTACAGGTTATACAGCTGGGACTTCGCCTAACAGGTGCTCCTTAGGCAAGTGGAGGAAGCATGTAGAGTTTAAGCTATTGCCATGAAATGTGTTTACGCAAACCTTGAAAACTATTTATAAACGACATGTTAACGGCTTTGGCATGTTGAAGGTGGGATTGAAATCAATAACGTTAGCTAATAGCTGTGCAGGTGGGGGCCTTTGTGGGCGGCCTTTGCTTTCCACAGTTTTGTTGGCGTATTTCAACGTTAAATTACAAAACTACTTTAAACTGGCTGCATTGAGTATCAAATTTTAGACCAGTTTTAAGAACAAAAAAAATTGGCAGTGTCCACACACACGCGCCACGGTAACTTTTACGGTAGATCCTGCTAAAAATTACCGTAGATCCTCGGTAAAAATTACCGTTACCGTTGCGCGTGTAAGTAGACACTCCCAGAAAAATTGGTTACGTATAATTCTTGCTTTAGTAGATTTTAATGAAAGCAGTATTAACAATTAACAAATTCACCATGTACACACTATGCTTGAACATACAAATTAGTAAATAAACTAAACAATTTTGGATAATTTAGTAACCATTTTTTTGTATGTTTGGCTATTGGGATTACCAAAACTGTTTTCTTCATTTTTATTAACACATCTTATTACATACGTAGAAAGTAAGTGTGTGCACGTATGTATTCAATAATCCTATTATCAAGAAGATAGAACATTCAAATTGGCTACTATCCATACAACAAGCACATACATATGGATATGTACAATACNAATACGGTAACAAGACCAGTTTTAAGAATAAAAAAAACAATTTTGGATAATTTAGTAACCATTTTTTTGTATGTTTGGCTATTGGGATTACCAAAACTGTTTTCTTCATTTTTATTAACACATCTTATTACATACGTAGAAAGTAAGTGTGTGCACGTATGTATTCAATAATCCTATTATCAAGAAGATAGAACATTCAAATTGGCTACTGTCCATACAACAAGCACATACATACGGATATGTACAATACATTATAATAGACCCGAGCTGGTTTTATCTCCTACATTGTTTCCTGTTCAAGAATATTATCTTCAACAATGAAAACCGGTTGCATTTCTGAAAGAAACTAGTACAGATAATGAAAAATCTGTTGCTCAACCGAAAGGCATGCTGGAGAATAGCCAAGTTTATTCTAAACGCATATGGGCAGATAAAAGTTAAATGTATGTATGTCGTTTCATTAAAACAGAGAGGGGAAATCAAACCTGATTTCCACCTCAACTAAGGCAAAGACTACGACACGCTGTTAAAGCCAGCTCCGAATTCATAAACTGCCGACATTCGATAGCGACATTGTCAACTAAAGCATATCATTCTTCTTTCACCCATTGCTGCGTTGGCAGCATCAGATTGTTTCAAAAAGAAAAGAAAAAAACATAAAAACAATCAGCTATTAAGAAGACATCACCTTTAAAAGTTTTGCGGAAGCTGTTTTAAACGAGTTTGATAGACAATGGTGCGCTGCTCAGAGGTACGAGTAAATATCAAGGGAATGCTTAAAATAAAAGTTAATTTAAAACATAATAAATCTAGAAAACTACAAATTAAGGTACAAGTGAAACATGCATATTTATTAAAAGCAAAATCGTTCTTCATAAGTTGTAGAAAAAATTACAGAAAATGTTTACATACGCATAAAAAGGAGTATACATACATACATACATGCACATATGTAAGCAGGGCCAAAACTTTAAAGCCACCTGTCCTCTTTTGTAAGGTAATATTGAATTCATTAAGATAAAATACTACAGATAAAGCTAAAGAGAATACAGATAGTGTGGTACCTGCTACATCGACTATACACTTTTATATGTATTCATATGCGCGTAACCTTGAAACCAAATATATAAATATAAACTTGATTAAATAGCAGTTAAATAAGGTATCTTTTTGCAGGAAGAGACTTACCTCTATGATCCCAACATTTTGCTGCAATTGAACTTCCATCAAAGTCCGGCCAAATTCGAGCCATTCATTTCGGCAGCATATCCCGGCGAAAACTGGCTTAAGGTGCGTCCACTAAAAGACGGTGATTATGACCGTGGATTTCTACAATTGCTTTCGCAACTTACCGATGTGGGACATGTCACACGGACGCAGTTTTTGAGTATGTTAACTCGTGTTTAGCAATATTTTTTGATTAATATTTGAGTTTTTGTCTAGCTCGTTTCTCACAGATGAAGGCCAGTGGCGATTATTACGTCACTGTAATCGAAGATACGCGCAAAAATGAAATAATCGGTGCAGCTTCCTTGGTTGTTGAACGAAAATTCATACATAATTGTGCCATTGTAAGTTGATAGCTGAAATTAGGTATCGCAATGCTAAATTATTTGTCAACTTCTCGATTTGCAGCGCGGCCGTCTTGAGGATGTGGTTGTCAATGATACATATCGTGGCAAACAGCTAGGCAAACTGTGAGTTTCTGCAATTTCATGTACTTACCTCTAACATTTAAGGGATTTTGCTTGGTTTTCTCATTTTGCGATTTAGTATTGTGGTAACTGTCAGCTTGTTGGCTCAGCATCTCGGCTGCTATAAAATGTCACTAGATTGCAAGGATAAACTAATTAAATTCTATGAGTCTCTGGGCTATGTACTCATTCCTGGAAACTCTAATTCAATGACAATACGATACGATGAGGGACCTGCGGCAGTACGGCACAATAACACAGCACTTGTTGATAACGACATCAACAACACCAGCCAAACTGTGAGCCTCGATTTTGCTTCTTGACAATTAGCCACCAGTACCGCCATTAAATCGAAACTATAAATGTATGCAACGTTGATTAATTGCAAAAGGAACAAATGTGCTGTATATAAAAAGTTTATGTTTTTCACAAGCTTATATTCGAATTTTTGTTCTTTTTAGGTTGCAAGCATTTTAAATTTCGGTTGAATTACAAAACGCTCGCTGCTGAAGGGAATTATTTCACACGTTAACAAACTGCGAATAATTCCCTTGTGCGTTTTGTGGGCGGTGCTGGTAGGTGGTGCCTTGTACTGATGTTATACATTTCGTTTCATTTAAAGACAGTGGCATCAGGCAAGACATACAATAGAAAAGTACTTATTTTTATTTTTTCTTCATTTAAATTCTTATTACGTCTACTTGTTCATGCATACAATGCAAATATGTATGTGTTTAGTTTAACCGTTTGATTTGATTTTGATTTTTTTCTTGCAAACGCGGCTGGCACAAAAAGGTAGTAGTAATTTTGCCCTTTAAAAGTACGTTTATAAAATAGCTAACTGTAAATGCAAAAAATAGCTAAACATTTTAATTTTGCTGCTGTTGAAATATTCTTATGTATCTAAGTAGATGCATATAAAAATGTATTTTACATACTTTAAGTAAGTTTGTGTGTATTATTTAACCTTGCTTTTGGTGAAAAACTTGTAAGTACCTGCGCTAGAGACATTTTCTAACTTAAACATACATATGTACTTACTACTAATCTCTTACCGGAACACACTAATTATATTCGCATAGGTGACCGCATTTGGGACATTTAAAATGATTGGCGAAATAATCCATAATATGTTCCAAATGGCCACCATGTGAGCAGCCTTGACACCAGGCATAAAGGCCACGCACGATCAGACCACAAACACTGCACTTGGATGACTGCATGGACTTGCATTTTTGGCAGAACCAGCCTACGCTGCCGCCTAACGGACGCCCGCACTCACTACAATTCGTGTGCACAGAAGTGGATTGTTGATTCAACTCTCGTACCGAGCGCAGCCACGACAGGTTAACAACTTTGCATGCCTCATTCCACAGTTGATAGCGATGCAACTGATCAATGTATGTTTGGAACCACATTTCCTGAAATTTGTGGATATGCATTTGCATTATTTAAACACAGGTACGACTTCAATATACTACATACAATAAGTACGTCATCGATTTGAAGTAGTTTACGCGCCTCACCCATGGCGATGAGTATAGAAATGGCAGATTGTACGTCACCAACATCGCCTTGCAGCATAATTGATTCGGCAACGAATTGATGGGGCTCCCAAATAGGAATGGCAGGCGCATTTGAAAGCTTTAGAACACTTGGCATGTTGGGTGGCTGCGAGTAAATCGAGAATAAGGAATTATTAAACCGCAACTTATACATAAAAAATCGGACTAGTTTAGATTTTGATTAAATTTTAAGACACAAACCGGGGAAGTCTCCTTGCATTCGGCTTTTAAATCCAATTGAGGGCGTGCCGCCTGCACGTCATGATGTAGTGGTGTTTCTTGGTGCGATTGCATTTTGGAGAAGTCTGGTGGTCCTACATATATAAAGCCCTCACGTAGCAGCTCAAAGTTATCAAACGTTATTTCGTTAAGTATTTGCGTTTCGGAGAGTATCACAGAACCAAAAGGTGGGTAGTTTTGTTTACCGCTTCCCACACCTACACCAACAACACCGCTAGACGAATCAATTTCCAGTTGGGCGACCGTGTCTACAGCGTCATCATTGTTATTGTTGTCATTGTGCTCATTACGGTCCCATTGCAGTACTTCGTGTGCGTTAGCTATTTGTGTGGGACGGCGTGAAGATTGCACACTTTTCTGATTCGAGAATGAGTTGCGGTGTATCTCATACTTCTGCTTGCTGAATTCGCTACTGCCATATAAAACTTTGATGAAATTCCACAAAGTAGTTGCCTACAGAAAGAGTAATTTTTACAAGTTTTTTTTTACGAGGCAAAGTTTTAATAAATATTTATAGAAAACTAAAATAAAATGCTTACATTATGTTTGCCATATTTTTTTGTAACACTACTATTGTGTTCGCAAATATCTGATAACTTTCTACTACTCAAAATAAGTTCCTTTGCACAACCAATGAAACACTCGTGTTCCTTCAAGTGTGTAACTTCCTCTTTTGCCGAGTAGCCTGTATACTGAAGTGAAGTAAGCAAGTGGAGAGATCAAATGCACATAAGTACGCTTACATATCTATAGTAGTTAATAGCTTAATTTAAATATATTTACCGATGGCTTTAGAATAAACTGGCACACATCCGACTGTGCTAAATGAAATTGCTCTTCTGAGTTGCTGGATCTTTGCCGACTGCCATGAGTACCAAATGAAGAGCATTTAAACATTTTTGAGTTATTATACCTTCGAAATGGGGTAAAAGATGGAACTTACGTTATAGAGTTCATTTTAGAACCATGCATGATTGGCTCTGTTTGCGATGCTTTGATTTTCCGCGCATATGATATATCTCCGCGATATCCTAAACTGGCACCTTGTGCGTTTGCTTTTAGTGCAGGGCGAGCTGCGTCTTTAAATGCGTGCCTATAAATAGTTGAATCTTTGCTGGTCGAGAGTAGGAGCTGAGAGTTATCACCCTTCCAAGCGATGCCTGTGGTAACATTTGTGTGATCATTGAATGAGGCAAATGGTATATAGGGTCGTCGGATGTCCCAGATATGTATGCTGTAATCAACTACCAGTGCACAGCTTGCTATATGATAGCTGAATGTATGCCGATAAGAAAAAAAACATTGAAGAAAAACGATCAGTAGGAAACCGAGACCATGTTTTTACTCACGTTCGGTCAGGACGCCATTTAACTCGGCCCACCACGGCAATCGTATGTATTGTATGCTCTAGGGAAGCCTTACCATCCATATTCCAAACCTGCATTAATATACAAGAAACAAATTGGAAACTATTTCAAATAAATTCTTATCAAGCGTTTACTTTGATTTGTTTATCGCGGCTGCCGGTGGCCAGCCAGTTTTTGGTCGGGTGCCAGTCACACGTATAAATTGGCCCACTATGCGCAGTAAATTGTAAAATACTTTTGTCCCCTCTGTAAATAATAATACAAGAAATATTAATAGTCCAAATGAAGTATTTATCATAGTTTATACTTTCGCAGGTCCCACAACTGCACCGTGCCATTCTCCGAAACCGCTGAAATAACATATTGTGTATGTGGACTGAATTTAACATCACGCACCGATTCTGAATTACTATAGTAAGTATACGATGACTTGTCGTTGCGAATATCGAATTGTTTAATAGTACCATCTTGCGAACCAGAAACAAGTATGTGAGGATCGTGTATGTCGAAGGCAACTGTGTGTGCTGTGCGTTCGTGCTCATTATAAACATGAAGTTGTTTCTTCTGGCCAAAACGACTTAGATCCCATACAGAAACAACGCCGTTCGTCGCAGCCGTGGCCAATATATTACTATCCAACGAACTCCATGCCACATCGTTAGACGAGTAGCTGAGATTTTGATTTTTGCCACCACGCATATTGCAAACTTCCGTAAAGCCATCGCTATAAATGGCGAATACCTTTAAAACTAGTTAAACAAACATACTCTTAATAAGGAGTTTAAACCAGAAAAAAGGTCCTATTTTACTTACGACTTCTGCCCGCAACAGCTATTTGATTGCATTCTCTATTAAGAGCAAGGGCATTTGCATGTCCCTCTTGGCAAATACGCATCGATATAGTGCTAGCATCCTCGACCACGCGATCCCGCGAGTCCTGAAATTTCTGCATTTTCACTGAATACAATCCTTCCTGGGATTTTCTCAAGACGATAAATAAACTGATAAGAATAAATAAAGGAATGAAACAAAACAGATGTTTCTAATCAGCTGCAGATTCGCATTCTCCAGCAAAAAAAAACTACTCAATAAAGTAGCTGTTAGACGTGGCAAGTGGAAGTAGTTATGAAAAGTGACACATCAAACAATTTCCGAAAGCTACTTTTCAAAGTAAAGGTGCGGTTAAATGTGGCAATACATAAGCTTTTGCTACGCGTTTCGCTTCCAAACGCGAAATCGAAAGTTTACTTTCCCGTGTAAACAGCGAGAAATTCCTTTTTGCGGATTTGCAGAAATCACTTTCGAAAATAAAAATTGTAAGGTGTAACTGCAACGAAAATTATGCAAATCGCTTTCAAAAAATAATTTCAACTTAAAAAATTCCATATAAAATGACGTACATAAAATGGCTAAGAAATTTTCATGAGTCAAATTTCCTTTTGAACCAGTACGCTGTTCTTAAGGAATTAGCTACGATTTCTACTACGGGTTTCTAAAGTTTTTTGTAAAAAAAAGCACAAGGCAACCCATTTTTGCAACAGAAATATATCGTTGCCTTAATATAGAAAGGCCCTATCTCACATCGTCGCTGAAATGCACAAAGCCGTAACTAACTAAAATCTTTTATTGCATAAAACGATGTGAGGCCACATAATTCGATCAAATGCATCATAATCAATTAAAACGTAAATTTTCGATTTTTAGTTAGTTACGACGTTTTGTAAATCAGCGACGATGTCAGATAGGGCCTTTCTATATTAAGGCAACGATATGCCCGTTCCATTATTTCTTGAGAAAAGTGTGAGGCAACAGGCAATAGGTTTGTTCGTCGAGCAAAAAATTTGTACGAATTATCACGATTTTTGCCCAAATCGCGTTCGTGCAGACCAAAAAATTATCCAACACTCAAAAATTGTGAGAGCAAAGTGACAGTTCTCTTGGAGAGAAGTTGCAAATTCTTGCTGGAAAAAATTTTGCCAGCAAGAATTTGCAAACACGAAAAACTGTGGTTGTGGCGCATGGTTGCATTTTTGTCTACAATAATTTGAATAAATTAGTTCGTTAAATTTAAAAATTTATAAACACGAGCGATTTTTTTATGAAAAAAGGAAGTAAATAATTGTTGATATAATTAATTTAGTTAATTCCAATGATTTGAACTTAATTCGGCTGAAAAAAATGGTATTCGCAATCGGAATGCAATTGCAACCAGAGTCGATTTAAGAAACCCGACAGCTAGTACGATGAAGAAATTGAAATGTATGTTAAAGAAAGTCAGAACAACAAGAAATATACATGTATATCCTGTTTTTGGCCATCCGAAAGAATTTTAAAAATTCTATAAAAATTTTTTATGTTTGAAATGCAACCGTGGACGCCAGCTGGCAGCGAAACTTGCAAATTCCTGCAAATTTGCGTTCGTGCAGAAATTTGCAAGTTTCTCAACATGAGAGAGAATTTGAGAGAATTTTTTCTTACTCTCTGATATTTTGAGTGTTGGATAATTCTTGCTGGATTTTCGACGAACAAACCTAATTTTTTCTTTACCGTTTTCTTGAGAGCAGCATACAGGGCATACACATGATAATAACCTTGAATAACTCATAAAAAATTTTACCATGCATTCATTCACGCCGCTGGAAAAAAAAATCTCGTGTCTGGGTAACAAAAGGACAGAATCTCATAAATCAGAACAACAATAGGAGCGTTCCTTATCTCCAAAAAATAGTCAGAAAAAGTCCGAAGTAGTCAGATTTAGTCCAAAAAGCGTTCCTTAACTCGGAAATGACAGCAAAAATGAGAGAGCAACACACAGTGAGAGTGGCTCTCATTAGTCCGAAGTAGTCAGATTTAGTCAATGGGAAACAGCCTTTCCTGTAAATGCTGCGAAATCTGCAAATCTTGGAGTACGGGAACAGAACAATAAATCCGATGTTCAAGTTCTAAAAGTGCGACGGCTTAGTAAAAATGAGTATATTGCAACTTGAAAGTAAATTCTCGATCGTGTAACGTCCAGGTTAGGCAAATTTCAACGCTGTCAATCGCGAATGGGGTAATTTTTCTGGAATGCACTACCGGAAATCATTTCATTGCACTACCGGAAGTACAGGGTGGAACTATTTTGACGTTTCTCTTCAGAAAGCTTTCTCAACAGATAACTACGAAGAAGAAAATAGAACTGGGATACTAACGATAGTACCGCTACTCGATAGGTTTCGAAACGATAGTTGAAAACATCGATAGTATCGATAGTACTATCGTCGTGAGAGGTATTGAATTTAAATGCAGAATTGCTTGAAAATTAGACAATTAATAAATTTATAAAATTTATAAATTACTTTGTAAATTAAAGAGATTATATAAATTTGTTTAAATTTGAGTGCATCAAAAAGAACTTCTTATAATAATAAAATAAACTTATTGATTTATGCGTCTGAATTATAAATACTTATGTACATACACTTGCATCCACTTGAACAGCGACAGGCAAAATCTGAATTTATTTTTTATATGGAAAATTTAAATTCGGATTTTGTTTGTCCGTTTTGAAGAGCACAGAAGAGAAATTGGCTATAATAATACATTTCTAATACTACAAAACAAAAGATATTCGTTTAAACTGACATGCTTATGAAAGTTCAACTGAGATCAAATACGGAGGCGCATCTTAAAATCCGGATAAATGAAATTATTACTATTTTACCATATTATAAGAAAACGAATAAAGTACTGGTCAAAATAATAGCACCACGACATTTTTAGCAGTTTGGACTATTTTTTTGTTTATTACTGTCTACTAATTTCTTATAAAAGTTGTACAAAACATAAAAAAACTGAACCGCCATTGACAAAACTGCAACTCCGGAGCACCTAGGCCCCCTATGGTTCCCTACGGACCCCTTAGAAAAATGGCCAAAAATCGCAATTTTTACTTGCGTCCACAGTATTTTTGCGTATAATTCCTTTCTGCATAGGCGGCCTTCGGTCACGCTTAGGGATTATAACCCTTACTACGTAGAATTCTCCTTTCTGTGTGACCTAACTGGACCTACCGCCCCAGTGATGTAACCTTGGGAAAGGATGAGGTAACTAGAATTCCCTTTCTGTGTTGTAAACTGGTTACTGGGTGTTTTATAAAAATGTCTTGAATATAAAAGTGTGTATATAAAAATGTATTGTGCAAATGAATATTAAACATTTTTCAAGCGAATAAACGCAAATGAAAATTGTGATTATTGGCAATTTTTCTAAGGGGTCCCTAGGGAACCATAAGGGACCTAGGTAGTCGGGGGTTGCATGTTTGTCAATGGCGGTCATTCCCTCTCCAAAAAGGAGGGTTAGAGGTGTCACGCCCACTTACCTTTCGCCCACCGCCCCTTTAACGAACGGCCATTAAGGAAAGCCAACCCGAGAAGTTTCGCTAGAAACGATATCGATAGTTTTCAAAAACATCGAAATAATAAAATCGATACTATCGATAGTATCCCAGCTCTAGAAGAAAGAAGATTAAAACGAAATTAAAATCATATCGCTACGTCAGGAGAAAAGTTAAAAATCGGTTAAAAGTGCTTAAAGTCCTCAAAATATAGCCAATGACTAGTTAAAGATTATAAGAAAAACCCATATCCAATAATAGCGAGTTATTGGGAAACTAAAAATATTTGGTATAGTTTTTAATTGTGAAAAATTGTTGCTGATACTACTGGAATTGTGTATAGAACGAAAGCAGAGCGTGAGGATAGCAAATAATTCGCTGGAGGAGGGGTTTAAATAGTGAAAAGTGAAAGGGAAATTGTTGGACATACTTCATTAAACCACACTGGAAAAGTGTTGGTGGGGTGGTACGCTTGTTGGTTAATGTCAAGACGTGCGGGGTGGTAAAACGGATAATAAAAATTTTCAAGCGATATTGCAAGCAGACAGCTGGCACACCAAATTTGATATAAACTGTGAATAATTTGCACGAAATACCACTTGTAATTAATCAAATAATTTACAAGCTGCTCGGACTTTTACGTGCTTTTCCTGAATTCCCCATTTTTTGTGTGACACACTGTGCCCGACAACATCAACAAAATATTCAGCCGTCGATCGAAAATGTGGTCGTTCTTCTCGCGCGACTCAACCAAAGACTTTCCTTATGACATTGGCGAACAGGTGCCCGGCTTTGAATCACGCTCGATTTGGACATTACACAAAGCGAAACGCAAGGGCACACAGGAGGAAGTCTCGGTATTTGTATATGATATACGAAGTGGTTCGGATGCTAAATGTGAGTTGGCAAAAGCAGCTTTGAAGCGGCTAAAGACGTTGCGACACCCGAGTATTCTTCAGTACCTGGATTCGTTGGAAACTGACAAAACCTTATATGTGGCAACCGAAGCGGTTGAACCATTGGGCACACATATTGATAAGTTGGCTTCTGACGGTCCCCAAAAAGACCTATATCTTGCTTGGGGTGTTTTTCAAATAACAGTAAGTATTTTTGTATTTTTTTTTTTTGTAAATTCATGTAGGAACCAAAGTTTTAAATAATACATTCATAATGCGGTTTTTTCACAGCGTGCACTTTCTTTCCTGAACAATGATGGTAATCTCAGACATAACAATGTGTGCGTATGGTCTGTGTTTGTTAACTCGTCTGGCGAATGGAAACTAGGCAGTCTGGAATACGTATCACCAGCGGACGGAAATCCCATGCCTCCACTTAAAGTGCCACCTGCATTGGAAGTGTACGATCCCCCAGAGAAAAACGATCAGAGCAAACTGAAAGCAGCTACAAAATGGTATACTATCTAATATAAAAGCATACTTATCATATTTATGTATCTATGTTTATCTTATTAACTTTCTAGTTCCGTTGATATGTGGGGCTTAGGGTGCTTGGTGTGGGAGTCTTTCAATGGTCCATTGAAGATGCGTTCGAATCTTAAGGACATTGATAATATACCGAAATCATTGCAATCTCTCTATTGCGAATTAGTAGGCGCATCACCTTCAAATCGACCTAATCCAGCGGATATCATCACCAGGTGCCGCAAACCGGGTGGTTTCTTTAAAAATGACCTGGTCGATACGCTGTTGTTTCTTGAAGAGATACAAATCAAAGACAAGGCCGAGAAAAATCGATTTTTTAGTGGTCTAACTTTACATTTGGATAGTTTTCCTGAAAACGTCTGCAAGTAAGTGTAACTAAAGAAATATACGATTTCTAATAGCTTAATTTATATGTTTATTGACATATCTAGGCATAAAATTCTTCCGCAACTAATTACCGCGTATGAGTATGGTGATGCAGGCTCGGCTGTGCTGGCGCCCATGTTTAAGTTAGGCAAACTGTTGGACGAAGCGGAATATCAAAAACGCATAGTACCGTGTGTCGTGAAACTCTTCGCTTCGACAGATCGTGTGACGCGTTCGCGCCTACTGCAGCAATTAGATTTATTTATTGCACACTTACAACCGCAGGTGGTAAATGATCAGATCTTTCCTCAAGTGTCACACGGCTTCTTGGATACCAACGCCACTATACGTGAGCAAACGGTCAAGGTAAGTCATTTGTATATGAAAATGTTTTATCACGAAACTTTAAATCTTTACAAATGTGTAATATATTTTATCCTTAGTCCATTATTCACTTGGCGCCTAAGTTGAGCTACAACAATCTGAACGTCGAGGTGTTGCGGCATTTTGCACGATTACAGGCGCGTGACGAACATGGTGGTATACGCACCAACACAACAGTGTGTTTGGGAAAAATAGCGCCTCACTTGCATCCACAAGTACGGCAGCGCGTGCTGGTCTCCGCTTTCATACGTGCGATGCGTGATCCTTTTCCGCCGGCACGTATTGCCGGTGTACTCGCGTTGGCTGCGACACAACAGTACTTCCTGCTGAGGTAGGGCTTTAAAATTAATTGTTAAAGAATAAAAATTTATCAAATTATGGATTATATAAAAATTACTTAGTGAAGTGGCAAACCGAGTGCTCCCATCTCTGTGTTCGCTCACCGTTGATCCAGAGAAGACAGTGCGGGATCCAGCTTTCAAAACGATACGTGGTTTTTTGGGCAAATTAGAAAAAGTATCCGAAGATCCGAGTCTGCGTGAGACAATGGGTTAGTAAAAGTAAAAATATTAGGTAAAATGCTTAAACTAAAATTATATTTGGTTTTGTTGTTTAGAAGCTGATGTACACACCGCTACACCGTCGATCGGCAACGCAGCTGCCACGTGGGCGGGCTGGGCCGTAACTGCAGTCACAGCGAAATTTTATCGCAGTCAAAGTGATTCCTCCAGACCGCGTCCACCTTTAACAGGACGAAATCTCTCAAAGCCAGCTTCACTGGGTAAAAATCTTTAGAGTTATTTTTATCCCATTTTGATACTAAATGTTTTGCAACACTAATATTCCTAACAGAGCAACCCTCAAGCAGTAGTTTATCAACGACGACGTCAAGTGTCACATCAATGACCTCACTGGAGCATGAGAGCAACGACACTTCAGCTTCTGCTTCAGACTACGGAAATAACGATTGGGATAATGAAAATTGGGGAGAAATGGACGTAAGAAACTGTGGCTGCAAATATTCTTGAATATATATTAAAATGGTGTATCATTTATTTTTGGTTAGACATCACAGGACCCTAGTAGTCCAATGGCTGGCACGTCAAATAATGGACAAATGAATGCAACAAATGCGCTCAACGAAGTGCGCGATGGTTGGGATAATGAGGAGTGGGGAAGCTTGGAAGAGGAACCGGTAAGTTGAACACTGAGCAAAGAGTGATTTCTCATGAATCATCGCTAGATTTTCCAAATAAAAATTTTTACACTAATTGCTGAATATAATTTTGACCATTACAGGGTGAGGAGGACGAAGAGCAAGAGGAGCAGTCGCAGGCAACGCACTCGAGACAATCACCACATTCCCCGCATGCACAGTTGGGTACGCCAACAACGCGTCCTCATCAACAGCAATTGCAGCAACATCAACTAAACGAACTTATCGAACCGCTAGCGAAACTAAACACACACACAGCGACATCACCATCAAAAGGCCATAATCAGCAAGCGCTTAACTTACGACCCAAAGATATCTCGAATTTATCCATTAGTCTAACAGCAGCAACAACAACAACAGGGTTTACGAATTGCAACAACGTCAGTCCGCCGCATATTAATAACTCTACGAATTCGAATGCAAATTGGAATAGCGATTCTTGGGCTGATGGTGAATTCGAGCCTATAGATGAACCGCTGACGGGTTAGTGAAATTAAATATGTAGCTAATAGGAAAATAAATTGTTGGCTCAATTGTGCATTTAATAAATATTTTTTTAGGGAATCCCAAACTGNTTGGGCTGATGGTGAATTCGAGCCTATAGATGAACCGCTGACGGGTTAGTAAAATTAAATATGTAAATAGGAAATTAAATTGCTGGCTCAATTGTGCATTTAATAAATATTTTTTTAGGGAATCCCAAACTCGATGAAGCCCGTCGGAAACGAGAGGAAAAGAAATTGCAGAGACAACGTGAGCTGGAGGCTCGACGAGCGCAACGTAATAGTGGTCCAATGAAATTGGGTGCTAAAAAGCTTTAAGATGTAAATTATTGTTATTTTTATTGAATGGATGTATGTACGTTTAATAATATTCATACTTAAATATTTGAAAGTATTGTATTATTGATTGACATACCAATCACGTGCATTTGGCGTATACCGTTGTATATTAAATATAATATGTAATATGTGGCATAGTGATGGGATAAGAACGTGATGTATGTGCTATGTGCATCAGACCAAATATTGTGTATGCATAGAAAAAGCGCAAGCAAAAATTGTAACTTTATAGGCACACTGAAGATATTGAAGTATCCTTTTTTATATACTTATTAAATATAAAAAAAAAAAAACAGAAAATATGCTGTAAAATATATGTAGACGCAACCAAAATTTCATATTTTTATTTCATATCTCTAAAAAAAAAATGAATATTTAAAAATAAGAAATCGTAAAAAAATAATAAAAGTGAATAGTCTTACATATACATATGTATGTAACGTTTAAGCTCAGATAAAAACTTGGAAATGCTTTCTGCAAATTTTAATTCCTCTTAACACACATACACACATGCATACAAATGCCGCACTAACACATCCAAAATAATATTTGTGTATTTATAAAATAAACACTTTTTTTAAATTTACGTGCACCAATCTTCAACTGTGAGTAAATATTTTTACTATTTAAAAACTAGACACTATAAAACGAAATAAAAATAAACGTAGCTAGATACGAATTTCAAATTAAACTAAATTACACATTTAGTACTTCTGTCACATATGTATGTACGTAGGTTTTTACATACAATAGAGCTGTTGTGTGACTAAACCGGTAATACATAAAGGGAGTTGACGATTTATAGCATTTTGGGCGCAAAGTTGCTACAAATCGTCAAGTTCGTAATCTTCTTGTAGTTAGTGGATTTTTCTAATAGGCTTTTAGACATTTTATCAAAGCCTCCAAAGCTACTACTTACTGGCAGATGCATGTAAATGGTTGTCTTATTAAACGCATTATTGCAAAGAATCAATTTCTATACATAAGTATCAAATTTACGCAACTTTATTAAAAAATGGTTTTTCTTCATGATTGCGCTTATTGGATATTGATATGAGTTACCATTCGGATATAAGGTACCGATGTTTTACATCAATGCATTTAAAAAGACAGCCTATGCCTGTGACCCTTCCAATCAAATCTTGTATTGAAATTAGCTGTTGTTGTTCTTGTAGCGGCACTACACAGCTTTGCCTAAATCGACTGGCCTTTCAATCGTTGTCGTCCAACAAACTCAACAAACGGCAGGCCCAGGAAACGTGCTGCTTCGACGGGATCGCACCAAAAGGAGGAGGAGGTGGTTGGTTTCGACGGCGAACTTTCACAAGCCAGAACCCTTACTGGTATTAATATATAAAGTTCTATTGCTGTAGGATGATGAAGACCCCTGACGACATGCAGTTTCGGTTTGTAAGTTGTGTTGACATTATTACACCGTACGACATAAGGCAGCACGTGTTAAAAATTAGATATATGAATGTACTTACATATGTACGATCCCTACAGGCGAAAGTACCGGTTCTTGACAATATCACCTACCGGTCACAAATGGAACATAACGGTCTTAGTTCCGGTTATTATATATGAAATCGAGCGGCCACTTTAACACGAGGTTGTCATTCTAAGTGCCCGATTGGCAACCTATACAGGCCGATTCTGAACAGAAACTCCCTGGGAGTATGCTCTCTTTTCCCTTTCCTCGTATCATGAATAAAAATTCCCTGAGTATTTTTTATGTTAAATGGCGGAGTTGAGCTGTAAAAAAATGTCAAACAGCTTTTTCGAAGTTCCAATTTCCTCCTCCCAAATTATCGGGGAAAATGCTACTCTCTGAGGGTTAATTAGACAGTACAACAAAATTTAAGATTTCAAAAATTCCCCAGGGTTTCTCAACGGTTTCTAAAGCTTTTGGGTCTGCTGAATACGCAACTGAAGTTACAATTTTGGGGTCACCCTAAGTTTTCTGTAGAGAACGCGGTATATTCAGAAACCGGCATTTGTAGAAAAAAATTGTATTATTTTAAAATAATAAAAACAAGTGTAACTAAAGGTTTTTGGGGTCAAGGAATCATAACCTCAAATTTGACTTTTGAAATTTAGTGTGTTGACATACATATCTATTGTAGAATTTTTTAATTTTTAGTGAAGACATATCCATGGTAGTCGCTTATAGTGAGGTATATATGAATGAGTTTGTTTAAGGGGGCGTGGAACATCTTACAGGGCTCAAATTTTAATCAGCTATAACTTCCTAACTCACATGACTTGGAAATTTGGTGAGAAGATCTATGGAAAATGTATACAAATCAAGAGGGCGTGGCGTTTATAGTAAACTGAAAGAGAGTGAGGTTTTGCCAGGGGCGTGGTCCCTCCAATAGATGTAGTTCGTTCAGAGACAGACAGCTAAACGGAATGATAAATGCAGTGCGATAGGCAATCGCATGCTCTTTCATATCGCATTACAGTGTAGCCCCCCTATTGTAAACTAAACAAGGATGAGAGTGTGCAAGAAGTCGTAGCACCTCCCACCACGCAAGCCGTCTACGTTCAGAGAATATCAATTTAAAAATTAAAGCGCATTTTTCTTTCTGTACCTTGATCCGCCTAATCTTAATAATGTATTAAAGAAAGTGAATTCCAATATGATTGCAGAAAGAATTATTACTGGATGCGGCAAAGGAGAAGATGTGTTTCTGTCAGGAGTCCACATACCTTCCATTAAAAGTATTAAGTATTCTCTGAGGCTTTGCTTTGACATATGGTTACATATATGTATGTCGGATGCTCCGAATAGTATTTATGTATTTAAAGTATGGTTTATAAGGAGGCGTTAAAAGAAATAAGAAAAATTGTTTATGTCTCCTTTAATTTATGGCAAACTGAAAATCTTTCTTACTGTTTTCTTTTTTTTTTATTTGTTTACCCCGAACGACGTCGGATTCTCTGCACCATAAATTATACTTTTGCAAAAAATTGTACCGAAAGATGGCGCTGGAAACCGTTTTTATCATACGACCTGGATTAACGGGTATTAACTATCTCTAAGAAGTGATTCTGCAAAAAAAAGGACCCAAAACATACATGGCGCTGGAATCAAGATATTTAGATACTCCTCTACAAATTTACTTTTCAGATGATCTATTAAAGCCCCAACCTTACTATTTGTTACCTTATATATCGCACACCTAGATCTAAAGTACGATCAACTGGAAAAAAAAATTATGGCGATTTTTTGTTTGCATAAATCAAATCATAGGACTTACATCTAATTAATGCGAATAACTGTTTCTTCATGATTATATACATTCAGCCTCAATGCGTAAGTCGTAAATTAGGCTGAATTGTACGACTCGACAACATTAGCATTGTCTACTGTCGTGCTGAAATAAGTAAACGACGAAAATTGTCGAAAACTATGCAGTGCTGCCAAGTTTTTCCGTTTTAATACACTAGTCGAGTGGGAATTTTAGGCAATGACGCTAAATTTTCGATACGATTCGATTCTCGAAAAACGACTTGCATTCGGCACGACTCTCGCAATGAGGCTGATTAACTAAAAAACTACTGTTATACCTGTTTTGTATTAATTGCATTGAATCTCTACGATCTACAAACAGTAATATTTCCCTCTCTGAATTTTGAGTTAGCTCGCTTTAGAAGTAGGTATGCAATATATTAAGTAACAAATTGTAACAGCTTGTACAGGGCATCGATAGCCGATTTGGTTGATGACCAACTACTCACAACTGCCGCAGACATACAAGGCGGGAGAGTTCGAATACTTGTCTCGGGAAAAAGTCTGATGATGTTGAAGTGATATTCACCAAAATAGCTAATACTTATACCTCAGCTGATTGTAGGTTTTTGTTGTTTTTTACCAACCAAATAAAAATTGTTCCAAATACGTTTTTTGCGTAGCAATAAATTTATATTGATATAGTTATATTAGATTGTGATTTCTTGACCACAAAAATCTTTAGTTACACTTGTTCAATGATTTTAAAAAGAATACACAACTTTTTTCTACAGAATCGAAAGAAAGAAAGAATCGAAAATTCTGACTTCAGATCCGGATTTAGCGGACCCAAAAGCTTTAGGAACCGTTGAGAAACCCCCGGTGAATTTTTTGCCTGTTGTACAGTGTTATTGGAGGATTTCTTTCTCGGGTGTATTCAGAATCGGGCTGATAGAAACTTTTGGGGCCAGGCTATGATAATCTGATATAATATAATTCAAGTTCTTCGCGTGATTGTTAGGTTAGGTTCCTCATTATAGCTGGACATTTACAAAGAAGGTGCTCAACTGTTTCCCACTCGTTTACGTCTCTGCAGCTTCTACAGAATTCGTTGTAATTCTCGCTTTCTTTACTCTCTCTCTGCAATATTTATTTTCCAACTAAGCTTAAGATCTAATATGACTCTCAGATACTTTGCTTGTTTGAATAATCGTAGATTTTGTTCCTTCAGATTTGGTAACTCAAAGCTAGGAACTTTACGTCTGGCCGTAAAGAACATTAATTTTGTTTTCTCTGGGTTCGCTTTGAGATCACATTGCTCAGCATAACGGCATAGTTCGGCTAAAGTTCCACAACCCGGTTACGAAAATCACTGCATCATCAGCGTAGCCAAGTCTTCTTATACTGCCCCGTGGTTGAGCTTGAGTAGTATTGAATTGATGGTGCTTAGCCATAAAATTGGAGAGATCACTCCACGACAGTCGGATCTACGTAACCGGAATGGTCCAGATTTATATTTGGCCAAGACTGCCTCTCCAGCAACACTCCCTAAAACTTTTAGGAATTTGTATGATGTTACAACAACAACAGATATCACTTCACGCTAGTGAGTTCCCCTACTAACTTTCCTTTTTAGCGTGTAGCTTCCAAGTTCAACTGAAATCGTTCTGCTGCGAAGCATCGCTATTAGCCATGGATTTATAGACACTTCGACGTCCAGCTCGTTGATGGATTTTTGGATTGTGTCTACCAGAACATTAATAAATGCTCCTTCTATGTCGAAGACAGCTGCCAGAGTATACTGCTTAAATTCGAGTGACGTGATTGTTAAGTTATCGTTTTTTTTTTTTTAATTTCGCTGGCGTCGTACCTTTGCTGTTCAGTCGGCTTTGTTCGAATGAGTTAACAATTGTTGGATGTAAACCAAAATGACTTAATAACCCTGCATCACCAAAGTAGTTATAGTAAAGGCACGATTTTCATCTATCGACTGAAACGGTGGAATAAATTATCACAATTTTTCTGCAGGGATATTTACCATGTAGAGCCCAATCGTTGCGAATCTGAGTTTTCAGTTTTTCAAACAT